CTAACCCCCAGGAAGTAGAATCAGTAAACAGCCGCTTCTCTTCAGACAGGTCGCCCTCTTGTTGAGGAGGTCCATGCGAACCTGCCAATGTAGTTTGGGCCGCTACAGCTGCTTGGTACAGGAAATAGACTTAGGGTTTCTAAGGTTTATGTTCCCCCTCACGTAGATAGAATATGGGGTACATGGAGCGCTTTTTATTCAATACCCAAAGCCACATTCCATCTACTTAAGGGGGACTACGGGATTTAGGGTTTAGGGTAATAGGCTATTGGAAACAGGCTGAAAGACATCTTCTCCAGGCATGAAAGCGAAAATGCTATCTGTCAACACAACATCCAGGCCGTAGCATTGGAAGCTTCGCATGACTCGGTTGAGGGTAGCTCGCACCCTGTTTAACTTGGCTTCGAGGGGATTGAACTCTGCAAGTACGTTGCAGCTGGATGGGCCATGACCATCCTGCTTGGGGGGCGAATCTAGTCCCTAAACCCTAAACCCTAAACCCTATTTCTTGCTCTCTATCAAGAGCCCCCAGGAGCTCTTCAGCTCCTCCAATCGCAAGCGTTTGTAACACCAATAGTCTTGGTTCCAAAGCCAGAGCTCCAGACTGTAGTCCCTAAACTTTGCATCCCTTCGAGCCCAAGCCCCCATCAACCCCAAGCCTTAACGAAATTCATCACGCGCATGAGCTCTTCAGGGCTGATGGCGCCATCGAGGTTGGCGTCCAGAAGCATCATCGCGCCTTGTAGGTGGCGATAAAGGGCCAAGGCATCCAGGGCTTGCGGTTCAGGGTTTAGGCTCCAGGGTTCAGGATTCAAGGTTTATAACCCCCCTCAAGTAGATAGAATATGGGGTATATGGGGATCTTAGTTTAATATACCCAAAGCCATATTTCTATCTACTTAAGGGGGACTATAGGGTGTTGTGTGTGGGGCCAAGGTCCAGGGATGAAAATCATAGGCTCTCAGGGCTCGGGGTTGGGCCTTGCAAGCTTTTAGGCACGCTCCAGCGGAACATGAGAAAATATTCCCTCTATACTACACGTGCTTGCCTTTTCAATTCCATGAACATATATTGTCTATATACATATACAAATGAATATACACACATATATCAACAAAATCTTCCACAACCAAAATGGCTTCCATATATGGAAACTCAAAGGCTTGTCACTTGTGTTAGTGTGGCTCATGTACTTCCCTTGACACATGTGCATTCGAGCCTTCTCTGGGACAGGCTCTCCCCGCTTCCACTGGGCAGCCAGAGCTTAGGTTTTGACAGCCTGTTGTTGCGAGGGGGGAGCACCTCAGAACCCAATCCCAAGCATTAAATCTGCGAATCTGAACCCGACTTTGCACACCTCAACCCCAAATCCCAATCCGATTGCCCTAGCTGCCTTAAACCTTGAAACTTGAACCCTACACCCCAACCCTAAGCACGAAGCCCTGAAACCTCAATACCCTGAGCAGGACTCTTCGACCCCCTAATCCACCATTTCAAGCCAAGATGCGGTCAAACTTCTCAAAGCTGCAGGTGAAGCCCAAATCCATTCCCGCCTGGACGCAAGGATCTGATGTAGGGGCCGAAAAGTATGGCTTTGGCTGGAGAAAGTTCAGCGTTTGGGTACGACAGCTGGGCTTCTCAAGTTTTCGGATTAAGTGTTAGAGTACATAGGCTCGGGATTTGCTACATGGCGCTCCATGGGGAGTGCGGGAACACATGGACGGTCATGGTAAATAAACCAAAAGAGACCAGGTGGGATTTTGTTGTCCACTTCCTTTAAGAATACCCTAAACCCTAAACCCTAAACCCATCTTCTCCCAACATGCACCCCCCCCTTTACATCCAGTACGACTCTGATTTAAAATCCTATCTAAGTCTTAGGATGACGGGAGGCAAAACTACACCCAAAACACGGTTGCTATTCTGAGTTGGCCCCTAAACCCCTTTGAAAAATATGAGTATATAGGGCCCCTTATTAAGGCCATGAGAGAAAATATTAAATATCCCAGGGGCCTACCCAGTATTAAGGAACTTAAACTAATCTACCATAACCTGGGCATATAGTGAATCACAGGGTTCCCATATCATAGTAACTTAGTTCAACTTCCTTAACAGCAACCCAGAAAGCTACATCAAAGAGTCTAACCTCACGTCCGAAACAATCCAAGGAATTGTCGTCACAAGTCAAGATCTCGGTGGTCCTAGTTAGATTGAAGGCTAAGCGTTGTACGAATCGACCGGTAGTCCTTAATTTGGGGAACCCAATATTCCTAGGTCAGGTGGCCCTCCATATCACTCCCTCCTAAGTCCCCTAACCATCAAAAATTCGCTTGCCGGAAGTCCCACGAAGCATGAGAAGCTCAGCCCTTGCCCTAAGCAGTGCTCTCAATTGAGAGGCCTGTGCCTCCTGGATTGGGACACCATTTCCCTGACACTTTGGTCTTGCCAAAATGATGGGAGTCCTTCGTGCAAGAACCTGTAGAGTGGGACCAAGATGTCATGAAAGTCATGTCCGTGTTTGCTTGCCCTTATCCCAAAAAAAAGTTGGGGAAGCAAATCTCCCAAAGAAGTTGCATTCAACAAATGAGCGCTTCTATGAAAAAGGCTGCCAATTGTATCTCCAATAGTAAGTAGCGCTTCCTCTGCGATCGAACAGGAAACCCAATTTTCTGGAAACCCTATTTGAGCCACCTGAGATCGTGCGGAATTTCACAGAACATCTTCTGAACCTCTGGATTTCGCGACGTGCCAACTTGCACAATTGGCCTGACAAAATACGCAAACAAAACGGCACGGACAAAGCAAAAAATGAACCCTAAACCCTGGATTCCAGTCTTTACGGGAAATCACATGTTCTTGTCATGTGACACCCCGGACCGGAGGCCCCACCCAACTGCCTGCTTGAGCTCGCGGAAGCCTTAGCACCGGAGGACCAACTAGCAAGTACGGCAACTTTCCGTGCCTACGCCCTACACTATCAAGATTGAAACTTTGGGAGGCTACAAGGAGGACGCTCGTTGTTGAAAGAAACTCCCCGAGGCAATGAAACCCTGAATCGACAAAAGTACCGAAGGTGGACCGCAACTTTCGTACACTGCATAACATGGCCAAGCGGAGTTCGAACAATGTCTTTCGGCACCCTGTGCTACACTCAAAGTACTTACATCCTATTCTAAAGTTGGGGTAGGCGCCTTTCCAAAGGCAACGCAATGGGCTGCTAGAAGGAGGGTCCGCATGTAAGTGGAGATGCAGGTTCTTCGGGAGGCTCCATGCAAAAGTAAACTGTAAACCACAGATCGTTTTGTTCCCCAAGCATTGGGATGTAGTAGTATCTAGGATTATGTAGGGATATAACGTCTAATCCGTAAAGCGTGAAACCAGAGCCCTTGACCCGAAGCCTCAAACCGAGACCCTGATGATACCCAGACCACCTAAAGAATCCTCAAAGTGGGAATCCTAGAAATTTCTGGGCTGGCACTTCTCGTCGAATCTTCTAGGGTGTCTAGGCGGTAGATACCCTCCTGAGCCCCTCACAACCCTAAAATCGCAAAATCCTTAAAACCCTGAATCTCAAACCCCAAAGCCTTATAGTCCCCCTTAAGTAGATAGAATATGGCTTTGGGTATATTATAAGAAGATTCCCATATATACCATATTCGATCTACTTAAGGGGGACTCTAGACACACTTAAACCCAAAGCGTATGAGGTCTGGCCGATGGACTTAGGTGACCGTGGGCAGCTGTGTCGAACTTCGCGAAGAAGTCCTGAAGATTGCCAACAGCTGGATATGGAACTTTCCCTGAATAGGGGGACCTTAATATAGACCCCAAAATACTTTAGCCTTTATTATACGGACCCCCAAAAGGGTACCCCTAATTTTGGGACACCCCCATAGGGGTGTCAGCTCTACAGGCTTCCAAGATCAACGTATAAGTGGGGGTTTCCCAAAATTAGGGGTACCATTGGGGTTATATAGGGATAATGGAAACTACTTGTCAGGATTTAGGATTTAGGGTTTGGGGGTTTGGGTTAGGGTTTCCCAAAATTAGGGGTAAATTTTTAGGGGTCCCAATAATAATGACTATAATATTTTGGGGTCTACATTGGGGTCCCCTTCTTTTGGGAAACTATGAAGTAGGTTTCCGATGCATAGGATCTTTCGGATACTAGCGGCCTCGCGGCCTTTCCGAGTCGTATGCATATAGTTTCCCTTAAGTAGATAGAATATGGGTATATGGGGGTCTTAGTACAATATACCCAAAGCCATATTCTATCTACTTCAGGGGGACTATAATGGTTGGGAAGTCTTGCTCGGAATAGCGTCACCGTCGCAACTTGCCAGTGTTAGTCTGACAAGTCTGGTCTTCTTCTGCTTCTACAGGCTATGCGACACCCGAAGGTGTCGCGGAGGCGAACCTCCAGCCCCGCGGTGGCAGGTCGGTAGCTGGGATACATTGGATCGTAGAACGTAGCCCACCCCATCTTCTGGTCTCTCTCTCTCTCTCTCTCACGTGCTCAGGCGGACCTGTCAGATGTCTAGAGGGAGTTTCCCAACATTGTCCCTGCAGCTGCCTTAAGAAGGATGCTGTAATTAGATCCGTTGTAATCTCTGTATATAACTGGAGTGCCTCGGACTACCGATTCTTTCAGATGCCACCATGAAACTACGTCAGCCTCAGGGCCCGCCCGCACCTCATATCTTGTTGATATGGGGATGGGGGTCTAACCTATTTTTCCAAAGCTCTGCACCGAAGCCCGAAACCCTAAACTTTCTTGAGGGCAAAGACGTCATGCGATTGTTGGGGAAAAACATCATCTCACTCCGACCCTGTCCAAAGCCCTGCATTACTTCTGTGCGCCCCACAACCCCCTTCCAAGGAACACTAAATTGTCTACCTGCAGAGGCTACAGGCCCTTGTTCGTGGAAGGCCCCTTGATTTTCGTGTCTAGGAGGAACAGAAAATGGCTCATGATTTCCAGCTGCAAGGGCAGGCCTGGCCTTCACAGTCCACTTGTTGGCCTGCGTGGAAGCAGGGGAGAGCTCGGCAACCCCACACAGAAGAGCTTAGAAATCTAGATGTTGCGGTTTAGTTTAGGGGTGTTTGAAGCAGGGCGCCTCCTAATCAGAGACCTGCACAATGAAAATGTTTGGTCGCTATCGGATCCTGTCAACAGCTGAGATAACAAAGGGCTCATACGGGCGCTTCTTACAGGTTCTGTCGGTTCTTGAGCTCCTGCTGGAATACAAGTCCATAAATGTCTGGTCCATATCCATACCCTTTGGGGGAGTTTTGCACCAAGTCTCACAGCTTGTACAGCGTCGTTCACCACTAAGCCTAAGCCAAAGCCTCACAGAGGCGAAATCTTTCCATCTAGTTCGATGCTTGTGGTTTAGACTCAGCCGTAACCTCAAAAGTCATCAATGAATTCTGGATTCAAGTAGTGGTGCAAACACAGGCTGCCATGAATCCTTCGAGACAACAAACCAAAATACTTGTACCCAGTCTCTCAGCTTTGCACTGAACCAAAACTATAGCAAAACAACCTCACATTGCCCACAGTCAATCTTTCTTACACATACCTAGCGGGCAGAGGATTTCAAAAGACAATGTAATTTGGGCCTCTACAACGTAGATTCCGTCAGAATTATCGCGTCGCCCTGGAGCCTTAGGTCTGGGGTCTACCATTTATAGTCCCCCTTAAGTAGATAGAATATGGGGTATATGGGGATCTCATTAAAATATGCCCAAAGCCATATTCTATCTACTCAAGGGGGACTATAGGCACATGAACCGCAGACCGGCCTCAAAGTAGTTCCACCTCAGCAAGGATGCGACTGTCATTTTCCAGCAAAACATTTCTCCAAAGTCAAACTCCGTATATAGGAGGTTCGGGACTAGGCAGAACACGGTTTTACAGAGACAGAGAGAAAGAAACTCTAATGCCGTGCGGGGAACTGGGTGACAGGGGGGTGTCGGAATCCTTGCTCTTGTTAGCGCAGACATGTTGCAAAACGTTTGCATGCTCTACAATAGTAATCATGAAGAATTATAGGTTGGCGTTGGGAAGAACTTAACTTGCATATTGCATCACACTGGGAACCTATAATCAGTTACTAAAGGGGGGCGACCCGTCAAAGCATGGTCACAACTTCACGTGAGGGGTTGCCTGCCTCAATTTCGAGACTAGGGCATCTTGGGTGCCCCAACCCTCAAACTTACGACACTATAACTATCATAAGACTACGATAATGTAGACCCATGATGAAAAACCCCGCTCCTTTCAAGGGCCGTAATATTAAGATCCCTATTATAACCCTACTAAGGGGAGTTCGTTTGTTAATCAGGGATCTACATTAGGATGCTATGTTGGGGGTTTGGATAACCAAAAAAAAATCGGAGACTGGATGGTTAAAGGCCAAGGGCCCTTGGGGTTTTGTGCATGGGTTTCAGATGTAGGGGTTCAGGGTTTAGGGCTTAAGAGTTTAGGATTTAGGGTTTAGGGGTTCAGGGTTCAGGGTTTAGGGGTTTAGGTTTAAGGGTTCAGGGGTTTAGGGCTTGGGGGTTTAGGGTTTAGAGTTTTGTGGCTTATCTTACTATCCCCGATACTGTGGATGTAGGAAATCCTGCACCACTCTACATACCTTTTAACTGAGGAATTGCTGTACGATTGTTGGGCATCCCTGACTAGCGCAATCATCTCTAATTGAGCCCAATTGCAGGGGAACCCGTCGGGGGTGGTATAGGGGTGCTGGCAACGGGCTCATACGCCTTCCGCGTCCTTCTTGTGGGGGTGAACTTGATTTGTGGGTGGGGTCATATATGGGAAGTAAACATTTGAGAAGCTCCATATGCTTGAGTTAGGATGTAACACCTCCATTCCTTCTTGCTCAGGGTGTCAGATATAGGCTTTAGGCTTTACGCCAAGGGGAATAGCCGTCTCACCCGTCTGGCTCAAGTGTCAGACAAGGAGGTGCGGAGGCTTGGGTTCAAGCACCCTAAAACCTAAAACCTAAACCCTAAACCACAAACCCTGACAACCACCTAGCCAAATCTAAACCCTAAACGCCGAAGCTTAGACCGAAGACCCAGGTCGGCACTCAGCTGCAACCTGTGTTTGTGGGGGCTAAGAACCTATTTCCCTTCCTCAAGAGAATAAGGTTGCACGAGAAACATTCATCAAAGCTCCACCCTATTTTCCAGCAATGAACCCTTAATCCAAAACCCTGAACCCCAATCCCATAAACCCTGAACCCTAAATGCATAGGCAAGCCGCAGAGGAACAAAGAAGCCCATGGCAATTTTCTCCAGGTCAGTCATCTCAATCTCGTCCTACCGGGTTTAGGGCTTAGGGGTTAGGGTTCAGGGTTCAGGGTTTAGGGTGGTTCTTAGTAAGGAAAGGGACATACATCAAAAAAAAGAAAGAAAAAAAAAAACTAGACAATACATTCCCAGATTCAGGGGCCTCCAGAAAATACTGGTTCTCAGTGGGGAATAAGGGAATATGTTCTATGGGGTTCATATAGGGATTGTATTCCCTTATTCCCTACTAAGAAGCAGTAAGCCTACGTGTTGGAGATGTCGGAACTTAGTGCGGGCCCTTTGCGGAGATATGGCCGTGCGGGAGGGCAAGCCTGCTCAAAGTCCCCTGGAGTCACCCCTAAACACTAAACTGCCCTAAACCCGTATAATCCCCCTGAAGTAGATAGAATGTGGCTTTGGGCATGCTATAACAAGATCCCCATGTACCCCATATTCTATCTACCTAAGCGGGGTGGAGCTCCCATCAAAGGACGCTGAAGCAACCCTAGATGTGCAACAGGCGATGAAAGACGGATCACAATCACCTTTACATGCTGTCAAGTGAGTATGCCACCAATGCAAAACGAGCCAAAATATAATGAGCCGGAAAATCAGACCCTATTCGGATGCCATGAACAGCTACTAGCAGAATATTCCACTCTGTAAGTTCCCAGCTGCGGATGGAAATCATACCACTCAAAAGTGCAATTTTACAGCAAGTCTGTCAAAAGCAGGCTCGGGGAAACTAGCTGATGCGAAAACTGAACTTTCTGATAGCAAGGAACCCCAGAATGAGCGCAAAGCTTCCAGCAGCACCATGCAGCACCCTTGTATCTTCTTGGGTAGGGACCTCAGAACCCGTCATGACCATTAATCTTGTTCGTGGAGCCTTCAGAAATCTTACATGGGGACATCTCCAAAGACTGTTGGCTAAATCATGCTGAGGGAAGTCTTGCACATGCATTTGTAAGATGGACCATTTCAAATAAAAATCCTCCCAAGGGGCCAGAACCTAGACTTACGTTTAGGGGTTCGGGTCTTTGCAACAGCTGCCTCGGAAGGAAGCAATGATTTGCTTACCTTTGGGTGCACAGACAGGACCCGGCGAAACCGTAAACACCAAGCCCATTGCCACGTCCTTCACGAAGAAGTTCGAGGACTTAGTTTTGCCAAAGGTAGCAGCAAACTGTCAGATGCGTCAGCCTTGCCTACATAAGCCTTTCCCCGGTACTTCAACCCCCCTCACCTCGGGCTGTTCCGCTATGCCTCACATGAATACCCATCAAAGAGAACTTTCCTCTCAACCCCAAAACCAAACTACAACTCTAGGTCTGCTGGGCCTTGCCAGCACAAAGGATGGATGGCCCTTCACAAGGTGGGAACTCAGGATGAACACCCACCCCCTGAGGTTTAGGGTTCAGGGCTTTAGGGGTTTAGGGTTTAGGATTTCGCGGCCTGGGGGCTTCAGGCTCAACATGAGCCCTTACCATGATGTATTAGCTTCAAATTGGGTACTGCCCCCATCCATTAACATGCTTTAGCAGGGGGAATATGGAGGGCTATTGCTTTCTGACTTCTTCTCCGACTATTACTGATTGGGGGCAGTACCCAGGGTTCAAACGTGCTCTAAACCTACTTAAGTTGAAAAGCAAAAGCTCAGGACGGACCCCAGATGAAACAATTCCAGCAAGTGCCATCAGGCCGGCAGATTTGACGAAGCATGGAGGCGGGCTTAGGGTTGAGGCTTTTAGAGGCTGAGAAATTCTGATCCCAAACACTGAACCTAAGAATCCTAACCCCAAACTTGGGCACTGCCCCCACCCAGTAACAGTCAATATTAGGGGTCCTATTAAGGGCTATATAACTAGATTATAACTATAATCCAACTGTTACTGAGGGGGGGCAGTATCCAACCCAAAACGCCTAGCAAGCCCTAAGTCTTGCACCTTGAACTCTACTCCTACACACTACACTCTGAGCCGCTATGACCTTGATACATCCCCCCATCATAACAATTATAACCCCTTAAAGATCCTTAGAACACTCGTTTACACCAAAACCCTTCACCCCAAGACGTGGCATTACACTCTGAACCCTAACCCAGACCCATGATTCATAAACCCCCTCCCCTTAATGAGATTATAATAGCGATCCTAATATTCAAAGGAAGGGGTTTATTAATCATTTGTCTCCAACCCCAAACCCTAAACCCTAAATAGTAACTTCCATTTTCTTTTCCATTATCCCTATATAACCCCCTAAACCCTAAACCCTAAATCCTAAGCCCTAAACCTACTAATCATGGGTCTCCATTACAATGCTAACCTCCCAGCACTTGGCATCTGAGCGGCTTTAGCCTGCTTCGACTTTCGCTCCTCCCGGTTGATTGTATAGTCCCCCCTTAAGTAGATAGAATATTGGGGTTATATTGGGGCTTATGGGGATAGTGGAAAAGAAAATGGAAACTACTATTTAGGGAAGCATGCGGAAATGTCTCACCAACCAAGGTCTAGGGTCTAGGGCTTAGGGTTTAGGGTTTAGGGGCTTGTGCCTGCTCATCTTTTGCCACCCTCACTTTCCAAAATCATTTGCGGCAGGCCAAGTTTCACAAGCTCAACGCATCCTCTTTCCGGATATAAAACCCCTTAAGTACATAGAATATGGGGTATATTGGGATCGTTTTCTAATATACCCAGAGCAATATTCTTCCTACTTAAAGGGGACCCTAAACCCTAAGCCCTAAATAGTCGTTTCCATTTTCTTTGCCATTATCCCAATATAACCCCTATATTCTATCTACTTAAGGGGGACTATTCCAATTTGGTGGCTTGTTCCTAGATCCCGGAACAATTTCTGCACCTCGGAAGTCCGCAGCCTCAAGCTGCAATTGGCACAACCCCATGACGAGCTGACAAAGGAATACCTTAGGAGGACCCCCCCCAACCCTGTAATAGTGGAATAAGAATTTCAGTAGACCCTGATATAATCCTTTTCAACCCTTACAGTGGCTGTTCCTGGGTGGCAGCTCTCAAGTTTGAGCCCTAAAATGCCCTAAGCCCCAGAACGACTCCATGACCCCTAAACCCTAAACCGGGTTGCTATTAAGGAACTTCATTGAAGTTACCAAATTGGGAAACCGACTTAATATCTTTAATTACTATATATATGTATACCCATTTCTTAGCAGCAGCCCAGTAGAACGGCAATGCCGGCCCTGGCCTGGACTGTCTTCATGACGATATCCAACCTGGGTAATCGCTTGCGGATGCAAGATATGGGGGCTTCCTAAAATTATGGGTACCTTTTTGGGGGCCCCTATAATAAGGACTATAGTATTTTAGGGTCTATATTGGGGTCCCCTGATTTTGGGAAACTACCATATGCGACTGGAACCATATACGACCCGAAAGAGAATCCCAACTTGCCCACAAATCCCCACACCTACCTGAAGCACTACGGATGTTAGCAAAGCTCAAAGCCCATTAGTAAGTGGCTCGTCCTGTCATCATACTTCATCATTTGCTCGTGCAACCCGTAACCCTAGGCCCTAAGCTCTAAACCCTGAAAGAATTTTGTGGCACCGCTCATGGCTACTTGCAATAGCTAAGTGCTTGCTGGTTGGGTCCTGTGCTGCATTTGGGGGTTTCCCAAAATTGGGTGGTACCTGATTGGGGCTACCAAGAACAAGGATCATAGTAGATTGGGATCTATGCTGGGTTCCCGCTTTTTATGCTGGGTTCCCCGATTTTGGGAAACTAACTACCATTTGAAGTCTAGAGTTTCAGGTTTCGGGCTCAGGGTTCGCGCCTCAGGCACTAGGTCCGAAGCCTGTAACATGGGAGATTCTGAATCAAAACCGTAGAACCGTAATGGCCATGAGCCGCCCCATACATGACCCATCAAAACACCCATTGGGGCACACGACAAATAAGCCCGCTTTTTCCAACCCCAAAACCAAATTGATCCCAAGCAGCTCCATGTAGTCTAGCGTGCCATCTCCATCGGCATCGATGAGCTTAAAGAGCTGCTCGACTTCCTTGCACGAAAGCTTTCCCCTCATGACCAACGCTGACCCCCTGGGAAGGCTTGCGAGAACCTGGGGAACCTCAACCCTGCATATAACTTTCTTGGCAAAGGATGTGATGCGGTCGCGCTTGAAGGCCTGTTGCCATGTTACTAAAATAGATTTGGCACGCTGAGGATTAGAGCCCCACACCAATTTAGTTGCTAGGGCTTGGGGATTGTGATTAAGGATTCCCCACACCTCACCGAGCGCCACTCTTTGCGGAATTCTTTCTAGATCCCCCTACGCGTAAAGTTCTGAAACTGCGTCTTCCTCCGCCTCTGACGCACCCTTCTTAAGAACATGGCTGTGGCAATGATCTGGCATCAGGAGCCTTAGTCACTACAACCTGAACCCTGAGCTCCAAAAGCCCCAAACTGCACAAACCCAAACTGCAAGAGCTACGGTCTTATTGGGAGTATATAGGGATATATAGGGGGTATATTAGAGCTATATTGGGGTTACATTGGGTTTATACAGGGATTATATTAGGGTTATATCGGGGTTACATGGGGATTATAAAGGGATTATATGAAGTAACGTCTATATGTATGATTTAATTTAATGGACATGGGTTCCTTGCTGAGGACTATATTGGAGACTATACTAACTACAAGAGGGACCCCTTTGTCCACTCTTAGTGGTCCTTGGCAACCCTAATCTTGACAGTAACGCTAATTAGGGATTATATTAGGCACTTTGATGTTCCCAGGCCCCTCAGCCCCGCAGACCCGATCCTACATCAAACCTCTGCTCCCACCTTGATATCTGGAGGTGGTGTCGAAATGGAGGTCCGGAGGTTTCCAGCGAGGGACATGAAGGTGATACCTGGCTGGGGGAATAGAAAAAAGCTTTTGACTGGGGGTCCCAGGGTCTGCAGGACTTCCTACGGTGCTTCTAACTCCTTGATTATTCAGGGTGGCGGCCTATATAATAATGGAGAGTGGATTGCCAGCTTGGTGACACGGCCGGCCCCTGGTCATCAAAAAGAAACTTTCACGAGATATCGTGTATCAACAAACCGCCCACAAGGCTCCAGACTTACTGGGGGTTAGCACGAAACAAAGGAATATTTTTTCTGGGATTATATAGGGATTATACTCACCCTTGTTCCTTACTAACCCCCCAGTAAGCAGAAGTCTAAAGCCGAAACCCTAATGTGGCCAATCTGTTAGGGTTTTAAGAAACGACATTCTGCCCATGCAGCATACCGTTTCTGAAGGCCCCAGGGTGAAGGTAGCAATCCGATCAGGTGGCACCTGGTCCCTAAGCCCCAAGCCCAGTAGCCTTTCATGAGCTCTTCTGCATCGATAGAGCCGTCCCCGCTCTCGTCGAACTTGCTGAAGAAATCTTTCCTTGTGTGCTAGCAGGCTATGTGCTCACTCGTAGAAAGACTCGATCAACGCATGTAGAATAGAAAAGAAATAGAAATAGAATAGAATTGCTCGCAGGAGGGGCACGGTCTGGTTGTGGATCCGGATTCTGAATCAAAACTCTTAATCCACCCAAAAATGCTCGCTCCGAAACACATTCTCATGCGCACACTCCCCAACTGCAGATCTTTGGCGCAAATGTTTAGGCTGCATTTCTCGTTCTTGCGAGCAGCATACGGAACATAAGGGGAACAGTCTCACGAAGTCTTCGGTTTCTGCAGGATTTGGTGTTTGCTGTTATTTGTGACATTGATGCTTCATTTCAAAGTCCAACGCAGGTCTGTGCAGCATTGTTCTTAGCCCAGGCGCCCCGTGCCACACAATCAAAAAAAACCATACGACGTGTGCTCTACCACTGCTGGTACCTAGTCGTCCTGTACTTTGAGATGCTGTCCATGATGGGAGACTCGGAAACCTACGACCAGTCCTGAACACCCCGAGACTTGTTGAGACATAGCTTCAGACGCGCTACTGGAGGAACCTCTCCTGAATTTGAAATGCAAGCGAAAAGCCAAGTCTAATCTAGGACTTTTCGCTCGCAAGAAAGTTTGGGGATCTCAGGTGGAGTGCGCACCCCCAGGAAAGCCCGTCCCCAACCAAAAACCAGGAGCCTGCGCGCTGGATACTTTGCCCAAAATCTTCACCCATGTTCAGAAAAGGGACCGCACTGGTGGTGGAGATACCCTGAAACTGAAACGTTATCCTTTAGGAGGACCCCCCACCCTGTAATAGTAGTATACTAGGAATATAAGAGGACCCTAATATAGTCCTTACTATCCCCTATAGTCACTATTACTGNNGTGGGGGGTCCACCTAAGTTATCCTGCCATGTTGTAGGAACTAGGTCTTACAACCTTGCACGACCACTGCCATGAGCTGGCAGGCTGAATGGTTTGGGGCTAGAGCTTCCGGCTTCATTACATGAGTGGTTGTCAAAATTA